GGAGTGAGCAAGCGGCTGCGTGGTGCTCAGTTGCCGACTGAGGTTAAACCACGACAGATGGTCTTAAAGTCTAACCTAAATTTTTTTTTTTGCAGCTTAAGCTGCTTACTTTTTGTCCTCCCCACAGTGGAAATATGTAAGAGTTATTTCTTTTCTCTTATATGTTATATCTCCCCTCTGTAATTTTTTTTCTTTGGACTGAATAATCAAACCCTGTCAGTCTTACTTTGTAAGTTGTTTTGTAGACCTCTGATTATTCCCATTTCTCTCCTTTGCTGTCTCTCCAAATTTTTTAAGTGTAGTGTTCAAAACTGGACTCAGTTACTCCAACTGAGAACCCTATTGGTACCAAGTACAAAGATTACACAGTTCTTGGAGATGATTCTTTTTATACATCCCAGTATGATGTTTACCTTTTCATAACAGCATGGGATCATTGAGTCATGCTCCGTTTCTGATCCACCAAAATCCCCATATCGTTTCCTGCAGAGGTGCTGTCTGACCAGTCCTTCCCCAGTCTCTGCATTTGTACAGTTGTTTTTCCCTGCTCATAGAACTTTGCATTCTCCCTGTTTAAACTTCATCAGTTCTTTTAGTTTCTCCGGTTTGTCAAAACTTTCTTTGAAACCTGTTTTCACTTGCATTGACGCAACTCTGTGTATGATGTATATGCTGTAATATGATACATGATGTGAATGTGTCACAGTCTATGCACATTTAATAGGCAGTCTGTCTATCCCGTTATACAGATTAGCATTGTAATTCAGCGACAACACTGAATGATTTTGGAACAAGGTCAGAAGGGATCCTGAAAAGTTGTGCTCACTACCCATTTTCAGTTGAACAAACACTCAAAGTAGTTACCAAGTTGAGTACAATTTTTATGGTCAATTGTACAGCCAAGTGATCGTGACTTTGCCTAGGTCACGCTTCCCTAGCTTTCTTGTAAGATGTCATGAGAAACATTGTCAAAAGCCTGACTAAAGCCATTATAAATAACATCTACTTCTTGTTCCCAGTGCACAAGAACTGTTACCTGTTACAAAAAGAAATACATTGGTTTAGTATGGGGCTTTTTTCCCCGGCAATTTCATGTTAGGTGTTACTCATTTTATTGCTATCTTCTAGTCTTTTACAAATAGTTTAATAGTGGAAGTAGTTCTATTTTTTTTTTCTTGAAATAGAAATTCAACTGACTAGTATAATGCTGTAATTACTTGTCTCTAATAAAAAAGAATAATTAAACACCGTTTGCAAATGCCACTAGAGAGCTCTATATTTCTTGAAGACAGGAAAGTTAATTCATCTGGACAGCAATATGGCAAAACAGAGCTAAACAAAAGATCAATATCTTTATTCTAGTTAAACCTAGTTGGGTTTTTTTTGACAGTGTTAATTTCAATTTATAAAAAATTAGATTCCTGTTGGAAGTCAAAAAGACCAATTTAGGTTTCACTTCTCCAAAAAAAAAGCAAATCTGATTTTACAGTGTTAACGGTGACCAGTGAAGAGAGAGACAGTGCAAGTGTACAGGGTATGGATGAAGAGTCTCAGCTTGTAGACAGAGGCTTTTCTTCATGGCTGGGATGCAAATTTCAAGTGTTTCCAGAGATGCTTTTGCTCAGTCATAAAGATGAATTCTGGAAAAAAAAATTAATTGGTTTATAATTTGAACATTTTTGCACAGGGACTCTTTTCCCCTTAGATTTCCTTTTGAACTGGTTTGTTTATATTAGAAGGCAGCGTTTGTTTCAACAAAGGTGGCGAACAATTGGACCCATGGGGAAACTGAGGTACTAGTTTGTTATGAAAATGTGAAAATAAACTGGATCAACTGACGAAGCCTCCAGAAAGATTTGTAAAATACTGGACTCTAGAACAAAGTGTAGGTATGAGCACAGTTCAAATGAATATGTATCAATCTAAATCATGTTTCAATGTTTGCGATATTTTGAATATCCCACTGTTTAATAGATTTCTTCAAAGGATAAGTATCTGTCTTTCTGCCTATCTGAAAGAAGTCTCTCCAAGGATATGGAAGTGGTTGTTTCAAGGTGTTGGAGAATCCTTTCTCCATGCTCTTCTCCCAAAATTATGTTCTTTATATCCTTATATTCTTATGTAGGTCCTTATGGTTCTGCTCCAGTGCTGAGCAGAAGTGGCATTAAACTCACATCCCAGCCTCCTTCAGTCAGTGTACTTTTGTCCTTCTAAATCAGTCAGGCATCCTACTCAAAAGAGAAAGAACAGTAGCTAATCTCATTGTTGTGGTTTAACCTCAGTTGGCAACTGAGCATCACCCAGCCACTCGCTCACTTCTGCCCCCCGCGGTGGGATGGGGGAGAGAATTGGAAGAGTAGAAGTGAGAAAAACTCGTGGGTTGAGATAAAAACAGTTTAATAATTGAAATAAAATTATAATAGCAATAATAATATAATAATAATAATGCACAAAGCAAGTGATGCACAGTACAATTGCTCACCACCCGCTGACCAATGCCCAGCCAGTTTGGCTGTGCCCCCTCCCAGCTCCTTGTGCACCTCCAGCCTTCTCAGTCGGTAGAGCATGGGAAGCTGAAAAGTCCTTGGCTAGTGTAAGCATTACCTAGCAACAACTAAAACATTGGTGTGTTATCAACTTTGTTCTCATCCTAAATCCAAAACACAGCACTGTACCAGCCGCTAAGAAGGAAATTAACTCTATCCCTGCCGAAACCAGGACACTAATTTTTGAAAATTGTTAGCTATTGTCTAGGTAGGGCAAAATATATCATAGTAAATTTATATATTACTCTCAGATTAGTAATGACATACTATATTTCTCTATGTTCAGATATTATATAAATGGATCAGATTTTATGTATAGACACCTTATAGCTTTACAGTTTATGTAACTGCTTTAAGGCTTTAGGATACATTTCACTGATCTCTGAACAGTTTCTGTAGCAGGCACGATGATTATTTTTATCATGAGGTCTACAGAATTCAGTTCAGGCATTTCAAACAGGTTTTCTTTCTTGATGTGGTTTTTTTGATGTGGTTTTTTTTTTTCCTTAGCTCCACTTGATTTACAAGTTATTGTTAACAATTAGTCATTTGAGTGTAAGGTTCAGTACTGGCAATGTTGAAAGGAGTTTTAAGTTTGAAATGTCCATGCAGTTTGACCCTTCTCTCCCTTTACTTTGTTATCTTTGATGTAGAACAGGTGAATTGGTTCTCTTCAGTAATTGGGCACTTACTGTTCAGGGCACAATAAGCGTGCTCATATGTCATGACTAGACTACTCTCTTTAAGTGAGCTTGAGAGTCATCCTTAGTGGTTGCCATGCTGTGCTACACTGCAGTCACTGCTATTGTGGCATCTTGGACATAAGCTCAGTCCAGTACTTCAGTATAAAATGATCTTTTCCCACCCAAATTTAAAAAGAAAAGCTTGACAAGCCATCTCTTACAAGTTGTAGTTTTGGGAATAGAACAAAAGATGGGGAAATAATTGAAGCAGACCATTACGCAGTGCTCAGGGGTGCAGTTAGGTTTCTGAAGGAGGAATGTTTTCAGAATGCACCCATTCTGCTGTGTCCCAATAAGGTCAAAATACTTCATGGGAAAGACTTTGGAAGAATATTGTCTTAGATACAGGCCAAATTGTCTTTGACACACTTGGAAGAATATAAGCATTTAGGAATGTATTATCTCCTGAAATTACTTACGCAGTGCTCAGGGGTGCAGTTAGGTTTCTGAAGGAGGAATGTTTTCAGAATGCACCCATTCTGCTGTGTCCCAATAAGGTCAAAATACTTCATGGGAAAGACTTTGGAAGAATATTGTCTTAGATACAGGCCAAATTGTCTTTGACACACTTGGAAGAATATAAGCATTTAGGAATGTATTATCTCCTGAAATTACTTTAGTATTAAAGATACTCATTTGTTTAATCTGGTATGTTTATATAATTTATCTCCTGTTCTCCTTTATCACACTTTGCTCTGACAAGATAGAGTAAAAACAAGCATGAATTTATTTACGCACAACAGAAATAATATGAGAAGACTTGGAACAATATATAAAGAGATCATAGAAACAGTCTGTTTTCAAAATATGTTGCATTAAAATAGAAGCAATAACAGGGATCAGGGATCTCTATGCTTTCCAGAAAAGCTATAAACAATGACGACAGCAGAGGCAGAATTTTATACTCGTTGAAGAACCCCTTGCTACATTTGGTCAGTTCAGTCTTGGGGAGTCTCTCTGGCATCACATTGTATCAAGTTCACTTCATATTTTTCTATGATCTTGACTGTTGTGCAGGTTTTGTATTGTCCAGAACTGGTGTGCTGTTTATTATCTAAGCCAGAAGAGGGTAAATCTCCCATTGCTTGTATCTGGGAACCTACTATCTTTGTCCAGTCTTTTATTTTTTATGTTGTTCAGTATTTCTTTCTGGTCTGACATTTGTTTCTTTTTTTTCACTTTCAGTGCTTGTTATGAAAAGACCTTCAAGAACAAAGATGCCTTTTATGTAAAGGCTAGAAATAAATTGTTTAGATTAAGAGTTTGAAAGTTTTGCTCTAAATTTAGAATCAGTGGCTGAACCAGGTACCATGTAGTCCTGGACCAACAGCTAAGTGGGAACAAAAAGTGCATTTTTATGCGTGTGTGTGTATACACAAGTGACACTCATTTGCAGGTTTTCTAATGAGTGCTGGATAAGGACAATATGTAACATTTCCTTTTTGTTCATTGTTGTCAGAAAAATTATGAGAAGTTGAGTCTTCATAGCAGCAGCAGTGGAGCAGCCAGTTGCAAAAGAGAATTTTCAGAAAATACTGACCTCCCAGCTGAAAGTTGTCAATCTGCGTGTGGAAAAGACGAGGAAAGAACATATGAAGAAATCCTGGTAGAGGATCACAGCATTTTAGAGAACTCTGAGAAAGGTAGTCATTAGCAAAAGAAGCATTAGAAGTACTATTACGCTGGTCAGAGGTGGGTTAAAAGCTTCTTTGCTGTCATTTTTATGTGCAGATACGTTCTCTGAATTAGATGATGAGGTGGACATATTGGACAATTCAAGCAGCTCCAGTTCAAGTCATTTGAAAGAGTCTGCTATTGGTAAGATTCCTTAAGAATGAAGTGTACACTACTTTCTAACAGCAAAGTAGTTGTTTATTCCAAAATATTAGGGTATTTCATGATTTGTTGCAAGTTCATTATCTGTTATGGGTCCTAAGCAAAAGAAAAATAAAATAACTGTGCCTCTGTGGCAGCCATTTCCAGTATAATACATTTTGCATCACATTTTCTTTGTGTAGTTTGTCCCTATATTTTGAGGTAATGCCTGTGAAAACTAGAATACTATTGGGCAACTTGACAAAGAAAGTGTTTTTGGATTTGAAGCATAAGATAACTAGCGTTGATAAGAAACAGAAGGAAGCCAGTGTGAAAGTCTCGGTAACAATAATGCTATGCAAATGAACAAATGCAGTGCCCTGTTAAGCGGGTGTAAAAAAGAAATTTGAAAGAGGTAAGCTTTAGCTGTCTAGATGAATTGACTAAATGGAATTGAAGGAATGCTTAATGATTAGATTTGAATTAGGAAGGGATTATGTGACAAAACACAGCATTAATTCTGCCTGTAGTTATTTATGGTAGTTATTTACGGTAATCAGATAGGAAAGTACCAGCTGCGTTGGGTATTATCTTAAGTAATAGTTTTTTGGATTATATTCTGAGTGTGAAAATTAAAAAAAAAAGAGATGTGAAACATCTGCAACCACTGTGAGCTACCTGCTAAATTTTGAGCTACCATGATCTACCAATTAAATGGGATGGGATTCTGATTAAAGGAAAATCAAAGAGCATTTTATACTAGAAGAAAAAGATTGATATTAGACCTGAGCAAAAGTTGATATTTCCATTCATCCCATGAAGTTCTGACAGAAAATCTGTGGATGATTTAAACTGTCCTTTTAAATGGTGAAGGGAATGTAGTTGTCTGAAGATTAACAAATTTTATTGTTTCAGGGTCCCAGGCTTCAAAAAACGTAGAATAACATTACTTTATCTGTTTGTAGTGCTATTTGCTAGCTGGGTTTTCTTCAGATTTTGGCCCAAGTACTGAAGAAATATGACTGCTTTTAATTGAAATGTCTAGCCATTAGTGCAGGGTAAATAAATGATTTGATAATTCTACTTAAAATCCATTAATATGATTTGCTAATCGTAACTGGATAGCCTGCCATTCTAAAGGCTGGAGAACCTGTGGCTAGCCAGCCCTGAGTTTATCACCAAGGTTTTCTTTAAAAAAAAAAATAAATAAAAGGAAAAAACCCCCTTCCTCTTTGTCATTTTCTTGTGCTAAGAGAGTAACGAGAAGCTTACAGGGAAGCCTAGTCTGACTGTGGGAGGGGGCTTGCATAGAAGGAACGTCTTGAGGAAAAGCAGCCTGCGGAAGCAATGTTCTATTTTGGTGTTTATACTGAAGAATAACACATTGTGCATCTCCCAGAAATTGAATTCTTTGTGGGCTAGTTCAGCATTGAACACAGACATTTGAAATCTTTGTGTAGTTTGTAACTTGCCACACCCAAAGTGTTATTGGTAATTATTTCCTTGTTGTTAATTTTTCTTTATTAAGATTTGGACATTAACAAAACATCAACTTTTTCTAATATTTAAATATTTTTGTGCCAGATTTCCTTTGACTTAATGAAATATTTTAACTGGAAAGATCCAGTCAGCTCCTATTAATTCCAGTAACTTTAATCAGCATTTCTAGAAGTCATTGCCCATTTTCCTCCCAGCATAGAGTTTAATTGGTATATAGATACTTCAGGATTGCTTTTTCAGAAAAATAATTCTGCAGTCATACATTCTTAGATCATCTGTAGTTTCTACTTAATGTTGAAGTTAGCGTTGTACATCAGTTGTAATCAATGCTGGCAAATTTTTCTTTTTTTCAGGGAAAAAGAAAAGATAGCTTTTAAAAAAAGTATTATAAATTCAGGATACTTGGGTATTGCTTGGGTTATGCTCCATTTGTTGCTAATAAATGGCTAGCTGTATGAATTATCAGCCATGGTTTTGTCAAGCAATGGGAAAATGTGACCAACTTACATCTAGCTAACTTGGAAACTGCTAACATGAAATTGTGAGTTTCGATTACGGGTGTATTGATCAGGGTCTTGAAAGGGTTTGTTTAATCATGCTGCCATCACATCACTTTAAGAGAAAACATGATCTGCAAATGTAGAAAAATATTGCTCTATTTTAAAACTGGGGTGGTATTTTGTAAAAAGGTGTGATATACCAAGTTGTTCAGTGGCACAGAAGCTGGTGTGCGTGTGAGTGACAGTGTAGTAGTGGTTAGCTTTTTTTGTACTCCACTAATTGTCATAATGATTTTACACACCCTGTGCTTTAAGAAAAGGATTATTGTTCTTAGTCTAGACAATGTAGTTCTACAAGACCAGCTCCTTTAACAACTCCTAAGATTGCCAAATGCAGGGTATGTAGATTCTGGAATAGTTGTTCATGCTACTTGGAATGATGAATCCTACAGGAGCAAGATTCTGCACATTTTGGAAGCATAGAGGCAGTAGTGTGAGATGCGATTTTTTTCCCTGAAGTCCTTACAATTTGAAATGATAAAGATTGACAGAGGATAGGGACATATTGAGTCAAAAAGCAACAAAGAGTGATCGGATGATTACAGCTTATTAGTTGCATTATTTTTCTTATCTTAAAATTAAGAAGGTTCCCAACTTTACCTTAGCTTAGTCATATTTAAGGGGTTTTTACTTGGTTTTGATTTACAGTGTAACTGTAGCTGCATTTCTGCTGGTAAACCAAATAGCAGGAAAATATGCGGTATCTATTAGTGCATTGTAGTCCAGTAGAGCTACTATGCCAGTTGGGTGAGAGAGAGTTTAAAAATTTACTCTATGTCTGGGAACACTTTTTGGAAAATATTTTTTGTTTCCTTGAATCATGTTCATTTACACTGCCATCAGGACAGTGTCCTAAATACATTGAAAGACTAGTTCTGTGTACAATATGCTATTAGAAAACCCTAGTCCCTAGGATTTTATGTACTTGTCCTCTGACCTTCCTCACAATAAAAAGGTAAGCATACGATAGGTCCCTTTCAGAATTGCTCAGCTACTAGCTTTTCATGAGGCTAAGAAGTCTCAACACGCAGTACAGTTGTTGTGCTGTATCTTGCTTAGGAGTTTTTCTGTTACCTCATAATTTATGTTTCCAGTATTTGGAGGAATCTCTGAACTTATCTAACTTGTGACCAATAAGTAAAGATGTTGAGATTCAGGACTCCTTTTCTTGCCAAAATTTCTGCAATGCAATAGTATTCAGAGTTACTGTGGAATGAAGAGACCGCAGATCTGCCAGAAGAATATTCTAGTGATGTAACTCTAGAAGGGTCTCCTATATCTTTCTTTGAGCTTTATGAAAAACGACTTGTTTACACAGTGCCAGGACTTGAGTCTTGTGCAGGTAATGCTCAAAGCAGTCAAAAGTATCCAGTTGAATACTGGGGATTTCTAGAACTAGGATACTCTCAAAATAGGAACTCTGCATGTTGTATGTAGCAAATGATTGGGCTCTGAGTTTAGGTCATCATTTAGCTCCAAATTTAACTATTTTTGAGGATAACAACAAACACAGTAGGAAATAAATACCCATTCAGTAATGTTACTTGCTGTCTGGAGCTAGTAGTTTCATTCAAAATTTGGGCTTAACTGCAGGCAGCTACCTTATATCTTGCAAATTTTGTTTCCCAGAGCTTTTTTTTTTTTTTTAAATTCAGACTAGTTGTATTCTTTGGTGGATCTGACGATTTGAGAAGATATTTCTTCTTTATATAAGACATTTAGATAGTTTGGTAAGTCTTAGGGGTAAGATCTCACATCTGCTATATATGGTTCTTTAGCTTGTGTGGGGAAAAGCTTAGGAATTTGTTGAAAATAATTATTGCATCAAGAAACCCATAATTTGCACAATGGGCTGTCTGTGAAGAATTTTGGAGATCTTACAGTGTTTTTAGGCTTGTTTTTCCCAAACTGACTTTGTCTAAGATTCAGATTTCTCTTGAGGCCTCAGTGTAATGGGACTATGTTGAAGACATCAGCTAGAACAAGATCTGCCAAGACCTGGTTTTCCTATATATGATGCTTGAGTTAAGCTTAAAGTATGTTTATGGCAACTTCTGTTGCTGTACATGTAGTCACTGCTAATGAGCAAAAAACTTAATTCTGTTTGCTCTGCAAAACAGCTTAATTAACATGGTTGGGACTGTCTGTTCTAGTGTAAAGTGATTTAAAGGACAGCTTACTAAGAGTATTTTGTATAAATAAAGGTAGTTTGACTTTTCTCCTGAAAAGATTATTAAGCCGTCATTCAAAAAAACACTTCCATTGTTTCCATTTCATTCAAGGAAATGGATTGACGTTTTCTGCTAATATGAAATCTTGATTCAATTTTCCTATCAGTCTGATCAAACTTGAAAGGGTTTTCAGAGGTTTTTTTAGGTACCAGTGAAGTGAAAGTGAACGCCAAAGCAAAAGTTACTGTCTTCCCAGGTTTTTCTGAACTCGTATCATGTTATAAGCTCTTTTCTTGAAATTACATGGTTAGGAGCCTGCAAGGGAAAAAACACTAAACTGCATATTAGAATGTATTTGTATGATTTGCACTGATGTCAATGCATGTTATGAAGTTAAAGCTTTAGAATTTGCTTTAATTACATCAGCTGTTAAAGACCAAAGTAGCAGTCAGAAAAATGCTTGGTGCCTCATTTGATATATATATCTTCATAGAGCTATGCAGAATAGGGAGGCTGATGAGAATCAAAAGCTTTGGTTTTTGTGTGTCTTTCACATTCCAACAAGGGTGGGCACAGAACAGGAGAGAGATGGAAGATTTATATTTCATTTTCCTTGAGAACATCTTGAACTGAGAAATTCCCTCTTGCAAGGCGTTTGAACAAAACGTATGTTGCTGTGCTCTTCCCATCCATGTCAAAGGAGGAACCATGGTATGAGGAAATATAGTCCAGGTAACACCCTGGGCTGAACTATGCACTATGTGCTCCATGACTTATGTTAATTAACTTTCCTACGCATCTGTGTTGTTTCTTACTCCCTGTCTGACTTTGTATGATTAGCATAACTCTTACACAAAAGACTGAGGATTCTAACTAAAGTCATTACTGTTCATGGGTGTGTGTATACACACATGAATGTGTTTGTTACAATGATTTTTAGATGTCTGAGTCTCCTCATGCTTAGTTATTGAAGAAATTATTTCAATGTATTTTCATAAAGAGACTTCTCTCTCAGTTGTAACTGCTCAGTGGGTCTCTAACATAATAATAAGCAATAAAAATGGCACTGAAGGGTGTCGGCTATTGTTTACTGATGTTCTGCATCATGATTTCTGGTTTGTTTTTTTTTTTTAGCATTAATAAGTATTTTCCTAACTTTAGCATATGAATCAGAAAATATTGCATCTCCTCCCTTATATCTTGCAAATTTTGTTTCCCAGAGCTTTTTTTTTTTTTTTAAATTCAGACTAGTTGTATTCTTTGGTGGATCTGACGATTTGAGAAGATATTTCTTCTTTATATAAGACATTTAGATAGTTTGGTAAGTCTTAGGGGTAAGATCTCACATCTGCTATATATGGTTCTTTAGCTTGTGTGGGGAAAAGCTTAGGAATTTGTTGAAAATAATTATTGCATCAAGAAACCCATAATTTGCACAATGGGCTGTCTGTGAAGAATTTTGGAGATCTTACAGTGTTTTTAGGCTTGTTTTTCCCAAACTGACTTTGTCTAAGATTCAGATTTCTCTTGAGGCCTCAGTGTAATGGGACTATGTTGAAGACATCAGCTAGAACAAGATCTGCCAAGACCTGGTTATATGATATATGATGCTTGAGTTAAGCTTAAAGTATGTTTATGACAATGCTGTACATTGTACATGTAGTCACTGCTAATGAGCAAAAAACTTAATTCTGTTTGCTCTGCAAAACAGCTTAATTAACATGGTTGGGACTGTCTGTTCTAGTGTACAGTGATTTAAAGGGCAGCTTACTAAGAGTATTTTGTATAAATAAAGGTAGTTTGACTTTTCTCCTGAAAAGATTATTAAGCCGTCATTCAAAAAAACACTTCCATTGTTTCCATTTCATTCAAGGAAATGGATTGACGTTTTCTGCTAATATGAAATCTTGATTCAATTTTCCTATCAGTCTGATCAAACTTGAAAGGGTTTTCAGAGGTTTTTTTAGGTACCAGTGAAGTGAAAGTGAACGCCAAAGCAAAAGTTACTGTCTTCCCAGGTTTTTCTGAACTCGTATCATGTTATAAGCTCTTTTCTTGAAATTACATGGTTAGGAGCCTGCAAGGGAAAAAACACTAAACTGCATATTAGAATGTATTTGTATGATTTGCACTGATGTCAATGCATGTTATGAAGTTAAAGCTTTAGAATTTGCTTTAATTACATCAGCTGTTAAAGACCAAAGTAGCAGTCAGAAAAATGCTTGGTGCCTCATTTGATATATATATCTTCATAGAGCTATGCAGAATAGGGAGGCTGATGAGAATCAAAAGCTTTGGTTTTTGTGTGTCTTTCACATTCCAACAAGGGTGGGCACAGAACAGGAGAGAGATGGAAGATTTATATTTCATTTTCCTTGAGAACATCTTGAACTGAGAAATTCCCTCTTGCAAGGCGTTTGAACAAAACGTATGTTGCTGTGCTCTTCCCATCCATGTCAAAGGAGGAACCATGGTATGAGGAAATATAGTCCAGGTAACACCCTGGGCTGAACTATGCACTATGTGCTCCATGACTTATGTTAATTAACTTTCCTACGCATCTGTGTTGTTTCTTACTCCCTGTCTGACTTTGTATGATTAGCATAACTCTTACACAAAAGACTGAGGATTCTAACTAAAGTCATTACTGTTCATGGGTGTGTGTATACACACATGAATGTGTTTGTTACAATGATTTTTAGATGTCTGAGTCTCCTCATGCTTAGTTATTGAAGAAATTATTTCAATGTATTTTCATAAAGAGACTTCTCTCTCAGTTGTAACTGCTCAGTGGGTCTCTAACATAATAATAAGCAATAAAAATGGCACTGAAGGGTGTCGGCTATTGTTTACTGATGTTCTGCATCATGATTTCTGGTTTGTTTTTTTTTTTTAGCATTAATAAGTATTTTCCTAACTTTAGCATATGAATCAGAAAATATTGCATCTCTGCCATGTACAGTGTATGGTGAGACAGTATCTTTGGTGTGAAATATCATGCACTTGTAAATATACTCATAAGCTGGCAGATTAGCAAGTCAAATGTGGTGAGTCATCAGACTGATCAAGAAAATTTGGATATGAGCCCTTTACTGATAGAGAGACCATTTATTTGAAACAGCCAAAAGTATATTTCAAATCCAATTTTGTATATGAATACTTTGAAAGGGAAGCTGTTTTTAAAATTCTAGCAAACAGCTGTGTTCAAACTTAGCTTTCTAGCCAAGTGGCTTCTGTTACAGGTTTTCTCACATATATTCCCATAGTATATAATAGTCTTCTTTATAACAGAGAGCCTGAGGTTGTAACTCAAAATCCTTACCCCAAACAACATGATTCAGGTTCAGTCAGAGCTTCTACTTTTGTATTTGTATTGTGTTTGCACCCTAAGCAGGTAAAATATCTATTCCTTGAATAGGCACAATCATATTTTTTCATTTCCAAAGGCCTTGTTTACTTTCTAGACACTGGATACTGTATTTTCCTATCTATTTTTCTGTCTCAGTGTTAAAGTTAATTGAAGTGTCTTTGCTTCTATAAGGGCTTGGTTTATTTGCTATTATGTAAATCACCTGCTCTTATCAAACCTTTTTTTGGGCTAACTACTACAGAGTTTTAATATTTGTTTTGCTAAGCAAAGCATTAGCAAGGAATAAAATACTGTTTGTTTGTTTGTTTTTTTTCTTTCGTTCTGTCTGTCTGTCTGTATTCTTTTTAGGGAGACAGATTTGGCCTAAAGATGTATCATTTATTTTGGTTTTAAAGTGAATTCTGTGTGACAGATGCCAGCCTCCTTCAGGATTTTTTTTTTTTTAAATTCAGAGGATCTCAGAAAAGTAGGAAAAATAGAGGCACTATATTTCAGAGCACAACAAAAAGTATGTTTGAACACAAAGAAAAGATTTAAGACTCTCAGAAATGTGTTTGCTCTCTGGAAGTCCTCTACTGTTGCTCTAGAACTAATATAACTGCTGTAACAAGACCAACAATGGGAAAACTAGTGTAAGTTTGGCATAAAATCTTTTTTTTCTTAGCTACTGTTTGAGTGATTAGATGCCTCTGTTCTTGTTTTATGATAATGCTTGTGATGTTACTAGTGTGGAAAAACATCTCATGTAGACAAAGATGCAGGGTATTATATTAAAATGCATTAATTGTACTGGAAAATTGTAGAATTTCCTAATCTTACTACTCAGACCTTCAGTTAGCTGAAATATCTTTTGATTTACACATACACTTATTCAAAGTGAGATATCATTTGTAGGAGAGAGTGGTCTCATATGTCAAAATTACCATTAAAGAAATGGTTTTACAGGAATGTTTTAAGACAAATGCTTGACAAATACTTGCTTTAAGACAATGCTTTCCAAGTGCATAAATAATAAATATATCATCAAACATTACCCCTCCTTCTCCACATTTTTTGGCACTACGCGATAAATGACATAAAAGTTTGGGTTCAGTTTTATTGCTGATTAGATGTTTGACCAAAAACTGGTCATACCCCTGTCTTCAAGGTCTTAAAATCAGTGGGATTATTTAAGAAGTAAGGTATTGCATATGTAGTAGTTTGAATAGTTAGCTAATAGGATGGTGGCAATAAAATTCTGGTAGAACAAGGTTTAGACAACCCATCAAAGTTCCTCTGAGAAAGTGGGTAAATGTTCTAGCTTTTTATCCAGACTAGAGACAATGTTGTGGCTACAGTGGTAGCAGTAACCGAGGTAGTTATTTAATGCAAATCCACATACATCTTCTGTGGACATCCGGTCAGCATAAGTTACTAGTTTCCGTGAAATTCTGAAAGTATTTATTAAGATACTGTGCGGGGCTGAGATTTTAGTTATGATGCAAGCAAATCTTTGATACATCAAACAGCAACTCCATAGTCAAATGGGGTTTGGAGTTTGTTTAACACTGCTTTTTAAAAGTTATTTTGACATCGTGTCTGGGGAATAGAAAATATTAACATGTATGTATATATTTTTTTTAATGTAGAGATAATATTTATACATTTGTTTCAGGTATAATTAAACGAAGTTTTAGTGCTCCTGAAAGACAACCTCAGATTAGGTAGGTACGATTTATGATTTTAATATAGATTATATAATTGACCGTTGTTATGATCAATTCCAGTGGGTCATTTCACAGTGGAACAGTTGCGCGATTGCCTTCATGAAACATTTCAGTACTTAACATTACAACTTCATTTTATCTCAGCCTATGACACTTAGTCTGCTTGAGGATATTGTTCAAGGGTGTTCACACACATAAGCTTTACATGAGTAATTTGAGGACTGGCATTAAACTGATAAATAGTTTTAAAAGTGGACCTTGCTACATCAGCTTAAACTGACATTAGTTGGTTAGCCAAATTCTGGTTTTGCATTTTTAAGTGGCTGTTTTTCTATAGAAAAATGTGTTTGTGCATTTGATAGTGTAGAGTAGTATCTTGTCCCTTTGAACTCCTCTAGACCTTCTATATAAACGTAGATATCTATTTTTGGAATTCTGGAGTCCTCCTCATTTCTTTCAAAAAGGAAATAAACCAAAACAGAATATGGCATGGCCATCCCCATTCTCCTTCTAAAGGTCTTTCCTTTTTATTCTGTTATTTATTCAGAAATGCATCAAACACATTCTTGACCAACCATTATTTTTTCTGATCTCCTTGGCCCCACTCTTATTTATGGACTCTGTTTCTTCATTTCTGCTTTTCTTTCACATCTGGAAAAAAACCCCAAAATCACTCTTGGCTCCATCTGCCTCCTGAACAATTTTTTTATCTTACCTTTAATTTAACTAGGTAAGTGTTTATAATAATGGCATTGATTCCTCCCCCCTGTTTCTCCACAGACGCTGTTTGATCCAGCTTTTACTTAAGGAATATTACTGTAGCAACTCTTACTAAGCTGTTTAGTGACCTCTTCCAAGTCATAGTTCCTTTATTTTCTTGATCTGCTATTTACTATTGGCGCTATCTTTGTCTTCTTAAAATCATGTTTTTCTGACTCTTCTGACTGTATCCTTTTCTAATTCTTCCCCTATCTTTTGAAACTATTCTTAAGGACCATTCAGAAGGATACTAGTTTATCTGTTCATCTAATTTCCTCTGGATGTTACATGTGGCTTTATCACTGATTTTCTTGTCTTTTCTCCTGCATTGTGTCTTTGCATGTACAAATGTGTCTACTTATTCATCTACCTGCAAAATCATGCTGCAAATCATGAATTTAGCTGTATACACCAGATGTATTTCCTTCAGTCTATACTAAATTTTTGCTCATCTATGTAAGATCTCTTCATGGTCATGTGGCCATACAGTTGAGTACTACATAACTAAAAGGAATGTCATAATTGCCTGAACCTGAAGTCCTACCCATTAGCTTGGGTTTTGATCATTCTCAAAAATAACATCCATCCTCACCAATACTTTGACATCTGAACATCTGCTTTAACTTGTGCATCTCTCAAAGTTCTTGCATTCAGAATATGTCCTACTGTTCTGCCTGGCACCTCTAAGAGATAATCTTTCCTATCAATATACGCTGCTAAAACTCTTGCTTAGGTTCATAAGGCTATTATGCAAGCAACATCTTTCCTGGTTTTGATACATGCATTCTAGTCACTCAAATGTCCATTCAGAACACTGCTGCGAGGAACATTTCTACAGCCCTACCTTCAATTCTACAGCCCTGCCTTCAACCTTGCCATCTTCTGTGTGTATCCTTTTACTGGTTGTGTTTTTCCTATCACTTCAAACGCAATATTTTATTTTTGCTTTCAGAGTTGTTCTTAGCATATCACCATCCAGTCTGTCACTTATCACTCACTACCTTTCCAGTTTCAGTCCTGCTGCAGTCAGTAATGGCAGCTTCCTAATGCTTGAGTGCTGAAGCAAACACATTTGTTTTTTCCTTCACCTCTGCCCCTCACATAAACATTAGCAAAACTATCTCCTTATCTGTCTTCATAACTACTACTTGCAACTGTAATTTTCCCTACTGCCTAAAAAATATATACAAATTCTTGCCATGCTAGGGCTGTTGAGGCTGCCATCCATCAGGACATCATATTGGTTCTTTCAGTTTCCCATTTGTCTGTATCCATTTGTTGTTGCTTATCTCAGCTAGTGAAATCTGAACGCTGAGACAGTGTTTGTGTGGAGTATAGAGCAGAAGCTAGCACTGAAACATCTGGACCTATAGTTCTGACATTGAGGTATTGCTGTCCTGCTGATGTAACATTAATCCCACACACACACACTTTACTAGTACTGTATGCTTTATTACTCCTGTTTTTATCCACTAGACAATAATGACTTTATTCTTTATGTTTTCCATCCATAAAATGGGTTAATTGAAACGTCCTTTGTCATGGTTTAACCCTAGCTGGCAACTAAGCACCACAGAGCCGCTCGCTCACTCCCCTCCTGGTGGGAAGGGGGAGAGAATCAGAAGAATAAAAGTGAGAAAACTTATGGGTTGAGATAAAGACATTTTAATAGGGAAAGCAAAAGCTGTGCACGCAAGCAGAGCAATAGAAGGAATTCATTCACTCGTTCCCATCGGCAGGCAGGTGTTCAGCCATCTCCAGGAAAGCAGGCCTCCATCATGCTTCCCATCGTCAGGCAGGTGTTCAGCCATCTCCAGGAAAGCAGGGCTCCATCACGCGTAACGGTGACTTGGGAAGACAAATGCCGTCACTCCGAAAGTCCCCCCCTTCCTCCTTCTTCCCCCAGCTTTATATGCTGAGCATGACGTCATATGGTATGGAATATCCCTGTGGTCAGTTGGGGTCAGCTGTCCTGGCTGTGCCCCCTCCCAGCTTCTTGTGCACCCCCAGCCTACTCGCTGGTGGGGTGGTGTGAGAAGCAGAAAAGGCCTTGACTCTGTGTAAGCACTGCTCAGCAGTAATGAAAATAACCCTGTGTTATCAACACTGTTTCCAGCACAAATCCAAAACATAGCCCCATACACTAGCTACTATGAAGAAAATTTACTCTACCCCAGCCAAAACCAGCACATGCTGTACAAGTGCAAAATAATGTGTAATCTAGCGGATTATTGAGTTTTAAATATTAAAATCCTGTCTACTGTTTTTGTACTTTCCAGACTAAAAACTGAGCAGGGAAAGGAATGGAGTCTAACTTTTATTTAGTAGAAGTCATTCTATTTTGGACATGTAGAGTGGGCCAGCCTTTATGTGACTTACAAATGCATAGTTAAAAACTAGTGAATTTGGACAGATTTCCTTTAGAGGAAACATGAGAAGGACTCAGGGAGTACTGATATTTCCTCTACAGTCATTGATGCCAAACACAATTAAAACTACTCTTTTTTCTTTTTTTTTTTTTTTTTTTTAAATGTTAACAGAGATTATATTGAAAGTCCGGGATCAAGACTGCGACCAGGTAATTTTGTGCTTACAACAAAATCAAGCTTTAACTTAAATTAAACCTAACAATTTCCAAGTTTTTAAACCTTATTCTCCTGTTGCATATAGAGTATCTCCTCTTTGATTTCTTCAGCTTTACTGCCTATTGATCTGCTCTTGAGAGTGCCTCCACAGATGCATGGGGCCCACACTACGCAAATAGAAGATTCATTCATGACAGGGTGGCAGTCTCATAGTCTTCCAGTTGTAGTTCTCTACAATATGAAAAATCATGGTATTATCTAATAATTATATTTTGAAATGTTAGAAAAGGAGATAATTACATTTCAGATACAAATATGTTATCTGAAATATCCTTAAGGAATTTTAAAAAAATATTAATTCCAATAGGAAGTCAGTAAGACCTTATTTTAATGGTCATTATCCTGGCTAAACTTCTGCTGAATGTAATGGGAATTTCTCCTATGAAAGGAATATTTCATAGAACCCTTGTAAATTATCATGTATTTATACATCATCATGGATGAAACAAGTTTTCCATTTGAGATACTTTTCTTTCTTACTGAGAAGCTTCACATACTGTAAGCTGCTAAGCTGTGATTTCAGAATGCATATTTCAAATAATAGTTGAAAGAAAATTATTTTGAGCAGTTGAAATATTGATCTTCATAACAAAGTACTTTTTTCTAGACTAACTTCTATTTCACAGCTTTTTGATATAAAATTGTATTAGGAATTTTAATTATGCAGTACAAATCAAAATTTGCTGTCCACTTTCAGCAGTTTTCAATGCTGTTTACTGAAGAGTGCCATTATAATACCAACATACAGTTTACACGCCCTATCCAGCCATAATGTATCAGAGCTATAATGATCTGCAGACAAACACTTTAGCCTTTGTTAATATTTTCAGTCCTGTGGGTAATTTGCGGAAATCCGATATCTTTTGTCAGTAATGTTTTCCTTTTGGGTAAAACTATTAAAAGTTTTGATCAAGTCCTCAGCAGCCTGTTCACACACACATGCCCTCATCCCCCAAATAATGCTATACTTCTGTATTTTAAAAAAATATAATTGTGGAGTGGTCTGGAGTACATGGACTTTATGGGAACTCCTAAAGTTCTCTAGCTGTCTTTGAAGCACATAGGCATTACAAGTAGTCATTACATCTGGTCCTCCTCAACTGGTAAGTCGTATTGTTGCTGTCAAACTAGAAAATAGAGAAAGCTCTATACACTGAATAACAGGGAAATCCATATTATGTCCTACTCGGTCCTTTCTGTTTGCTGATATAATTCTAAGCATATTTTTATTCAGAAAAAAAAAATCTGAGAAGACCCACAAAAGAAAGGGCACCCTTTATTTGCTTTTGTTTTGTAATACAAGCCATTGACAGCAAAGGAGAAGTCAAATACCACAGAACAGGGAGCAGTGAGAAAGGTAACATGTCAGGGAAGTAAAGTTTTTATCAGTGACCTAATAAAAACTGAAGATTCCTAGGTTGTAACGGCAAGATCACACTATTTATTTTGGGATTGAATACAGCAGTGTTGAAACAGTTGGTAGAGAGGTGAAAATGAGGCAAAAAGAGCTAAATCAAAATCGTTCTTCTCATGGCATATAATATTTTAGATTATTATAGCATGGCTTCCACTGTCACCTTGAGCAGAAAGACCAACCTAAATTCTTCCTTAAATGGCTCAGGGGAAATGCAAGACTTCTTTTCCTCTTATTCATTATTAAGAGGAGACTTAGGGAAAAAATGTTGAACTAAATTTCACTTGCCTCTCTCAACCCATCTGCCAAAAGGCATTGCCACAAAAAATCCAACAATGGCAATGATGTTGTTATCTTCCTGATCCTACTAGAAATGTGTGTCTCTGTGATAGAGAATGACATTTTCTATATCTATTTTCTGTGAGTGTGCAGCTCAGATCTGGTTGGTCCCTAGACACTTCAGTTTGTGAATGTCTCTCTTCTACTTCTTGTTAAAGTAGCCAGCACAGAGATTCAACAGGAAAAAATGGTAATAGTTCAGTTGTGGGCTAATTCATTTTGGTGTTTGGATTTCATCTCCCTCTCAGTAGAATTTTCATTCTTGATACCAGATAATTTAAAAAAAAAAAAAAGTTTAGGTGGATGTAAATCAGTACATAAGACTTTATGATCCTCAGGGTGTTTCTGTATTAGGAAATTTTGGAGTATGGATCTAAATTACCCTCTGAAGTGTAGTTTAGAGATAACTGCATTTAAGAGAGGTACAGGGCTGCTGGCTGAAGTTCAGTACTTGGACTTAACCTCTTTGCTTAGCTTCCAGGTCTAATACTCAACTTGGAAAGATAATTTTGGTAACTAATGTTCTTACGTGATACACTAAGTGTTTTGTAGTGGCAGTCTGCTGATAAGCTTTTATTTAATCTCTGAGTCTGACAGTGTGTATGACTTAAATACACGATTAAAAATCATAAATAACAACTGATTTACCACATAAAAATTCAAGAATCTGATTTAGTTTTGGCTCTATACTCTTTCTCAGCAGGCAAAGCATGATAGAGGAGCACTAGGTAAATAAGAATCAAGCTGTTCTGTTTGTTTTAATTGTTATATTTAAAATCTGAATGATATTTCATAAATCTGCAGTTTGTAGAATACATAATATTTGCTTCTATGTCCTAATTCTATTAAATTACCTAAAGCTTGATCAGCAGTATTTCTCTATTGCTTCTTATGGCTGGAATTAAAATTATTCCATGGAACACAAATAAATTATTATCTATTTTTTTTGGTTCAGTAGGTAAGTTCATAATGCTCTTTAGTTAACAAAATATAGTCAATCTTTTAGGTATAATACTCACAAATCAGTACTGAGTTTACTGTGTTTTGTAAAATTTAAGTAATGCTCACTCATTTAGGTAGTCAAGTGAATTTGGTTTTGCTTTTTATCAAGCTGCCTTTGGCTAGTATTGTTCAAATATGTCATTGAATATGGCAGGAGACAAATCACATGGATATTTGATATTACTTGCTGGTAAATTAGGGCAGTTTTGCTTCAGAAAAAGAGCACGGTCTTTTAATCACCAAGCTGCTTGTACTACAAGAAAAAATGTACCTACAGCAGACAAGTATATCTGTCTCAAATTCTGGATGACCAAGACCATATCTGATATAATGGCTGTGATTGTAAGTCCCAAACAGTAGTTCAAAGGGGGAAATGAACTTTCACTTTCACCTCTTGTTTTCAATTCTTGATCCCAAGAACTAAATATTTTCACATAGCTGATATATTTTTTTAACCTGATTTTAACACACAGAAGTAAATAAACAGGTTAATATTGTTGTGTTAAATTTATTTTGCTGAAAGAAAAGCATAGCTTCCATTCATACATGACTTCCTTTGCAGTGTTTTTGTCTATGAAAAGTATACATTATGTACATGGATTTGCTTGACATAGGATGGTAGTCTAGCTTTAGAGGAAGAGGAACAGGTTTACACCTACTCACTATTTTCATAAGATAAGAAAAATTCAGCTTTCTTGCTCCTTGCCATGATAATTAATTCACACATATCTAAATAAAATCAACAATAATCTAATAAAAATGATACGAGGAAGCCTAAATGTTTGAAGTACTGCAATATTCTTAATTCTAAAGTCATGTTTCTCCTTTTAATTCCAAACTGACTCTGTTCTTTACTTCAGAGTTTGTACTACAAAATGTAGTGTCATTGTCATCGGGTATGATGGATGCTTTTTAGCAAAGATCACATTTGGATACCCAAATAAATAGTTAAGCACTAAAACTTTAGGGAAGTGATCGTGCCCCTGTACTCGGCACTGGTGAGGCCGCACCTCAAATACTGTGTTCAGTTTTGGGCCCCTCACTACAAGAAGGACGTTGAGGTGCTGGAGCGTGTCCAGAGAAGGGCAACGAAGCTGGTGAGGGGTCTGGAGAACAAGTCTGATGAGGAGCGGCTGAGGGAACTGGGGTTGTTTAGCGTGGAGAAAAGGAGGCTGAGGGGAGACCTCATTGCTCTCTACAACTACCTGAAAGGAGGTTGTAGCGAGGTGGGTGTCGGTCTCTTCTCCCAAGTAACTAGTGATAGGACGAGAGGAAATGGCCTCAAGTTGTGCCAGGGGAGGTTTAGATTGGACGTGAGGAAAAATTTCTTTACTGAAAGAGTGGTTAAACATTGGAACAGGCTGCCCAGGGAAGTGGTTGAGTCACCATCCCTGGAGGTATTTAAAAGACATGTAGATGAGGTGCTTAGGGACATGGTTTAGTGGGCATGGTGGTGTTGGGTTGATGGTTGGACTCGATGATCTTAGAGGTCTTTTCCAACCTTAATGATTCTATGATTCTATGAAAACATAAGCCTGTGTGTGCACTGTTTGTGAATTTGTGTATGCGTATCTATTATGCGTGTTGTTAGGTAATAGCTAAAGGGAATGTTCAAATACAATGTGTTTAAAAAAAAAGTTTTTTTGAATATCTGTTTTAGAAGAAAATATTAGAAACAACTTATAGCAACGTTATTTTCTCAACATGCCAATAGTTTCTTATTGTGGATCTTAACTTTGTGATGTCTTAGTAATTAGTCAATGAATATTTTATCTTCTGATCTGTCTAGTGAACAAGTCTACTTGAAATGTTAATGCTTAGAGAAATGATATGGAGATATATTAAGAGACACAACACTTTTCAAAACTGATAAAATATTTAATTTCTACATTTGCTTAGTCTTTTCTTTTTCTTTGAACAGGCCAACTTTATATCCCATATAATACGGCAGGGGCGGGGGGGATAAAATTTTCATTACATATAGTGTATATGTAATGTGCATTACTCATAATTACATGCATATGTACATGCGAATTGAATCTGTGTTAATTTTTTCTGGTTTGCATAACCCCGTTTTGTGGTTTGCTTAACATCATGCATTTTTCTATCAATATCTAACTAGCTTTGCATTTATAAGTTTCTAAAACCCACTTTTCCTTTATATTCACAGGTCAACACTACTATTTTTATGGAATTTACAAGCAAAAGCAATATGCAGTCTGTAATACAGAACAATAGTCTATATTCTTTCCTTTGCAGGGAGAGGAATTTTTACAGCATTATTCTTTGCTTAGCATTGATGTTCTTCTATTCTAAACATGAAAAATGCTGTTTATGTGCTTTATGATGGTGTCATTTTGATCATGGAAAATGCTGATAACAGGTCCTTTCCACAGTCTCCATCAATATGTCCTTTTGATAGGGTGATGTCTAGTGGGGAGGAATTTATGACAAAGAATAGAGACCACTAGTTTTCTGATGCAAAGTAAAGAAGACCCAAGAGATTCATAGCTGCTTGCACATTTTCTTGAGGTTTCTCTGAAAACATGCTCTTGCTAGATGTTGGAAACGAAAAGTAGCTGTGATAAAGCAACACACATCACTACAAGGCAACATAGAATCATAGAATCATAAAGGTTGGAAAAGACCTCTAAGATCATCGAGTCCAACCGTCAACCCAACACCACCATGCCCACT